AATTATCTAGATTCAAAAATTTCCGTTTTGTATGGATGGAATTGTATATATGAATATATATGTTGTATATATATGAATATATTATATATGAAATATGTCGAATAAAGGAGTTCTCATGTATTGTTACACGAAAACCACGTTGAATACCGAAAATGCTTCGCGTCGCGAAACATGAAAAAATCGCTTTCTGTCCTAGTGAACCCAACACCCCCCCCCAAACGGCAGAAACGCCAAAAGGGCTGGATTGCTTACCACATGAGAAATAGCTAGCAAATAAGAAAAGCATATTTAAGGTCAACATGTGCATGGGTTTGGAGAACTTCTCTCATTTGTTTATACTAAAAAGCTGATTTGTATTAGAAAGACAATAACGGTGTCCAGCGATCCTCAGTGACGTGTTATGAGTTTGAGCCGCAACTTGCACACTTTCACTTCTCTCTCATTCAGAACTTGTAGTTAGATTTCACTTCGCTATTTATTTTTCACTCCACTCGTGATTGTTGCCAGACGTGTTTTTTTTTTCAGATGAGTTGATGCTAAGTTTAGTTACGGAGGTAATCACTGCGAACCAAGGTGAAATTTCGCCGAAATTCTATGGGTGGTAGCCTCACGTTGGTATCATCGGGAACTAATGTCAATCAGCGATCCAATGAACGACCAGAAAATCGACGTAAAAAAATCGAATTCAGGTATTTTGAAGGAGAGGTCAAAACTGGTGAAGTGGTGCCATAGGTTCCACTTTTAAAAGTTTCCTTCACGGAATCGCGTTTGTGTTCTGTCAATTAACAGTTATAGCAGCGCTCTTTAAACTCTGTCCTGATGGGCCGTATGCTGAATGTTGGGGAGGGGACGGGGATGGGGAAAGGTTGGGGAGGTTCGTCGCAGGACCCACTGGGCAACGGTCGCACCTTTGATTTTGCAGCTTTGTTTCCATTCTTTCATCGCTGTTTTTGGATGAAGAAAGGTATTTACGAGCGAATATACAATCAGGAACAGTAAAAGGATGGAAACAAAGCTGCAAAATCAAAGGTGCGACCGTTGCCCAGTGGGTCCTGCGACGAACTCCAAACATTTCCCCACGTCCCCTCCCAATTTAGGCATACGGTAATGAGTGACTTTCGCTCCGCTCGCGAAAGATTTTTCGCTGCGTACTGTTAGGTGGCACGTGATCATCCAGTGCCGAAGGGTCCACAGGAAGATGTCGTTCTTCGTATCAGCGCATGTTTACTTCTCTTTGTATTTTATATTGAGACCATGATCACTTACAAAATTTTTTGTTTTTCTTGCCGAACTCCTTGGTTGGATGTAGATCGGTTTATGCAGTGGGGGGAGGGGGGGAATCATTATGCAGTTTTCGGTGAAACTATTGTGGAACTGAACATCCCACTTTGGACATGGCTACACTCCTGGGTGGAGTTTCCTAGTTGAAGAAATGCATCAGTGAATGCCCTAACGGATAGACCCTAGATCTATTTCATCGGTTTCTGTTAGACAAATTGAAGACTCGGGATGGTTAGTGGCTTGTGTCCCCGTTGAGGTCTGTAGAACGTCAGAATTTTCTGCATTTTTTCCCAGACTCCTCCTGTGTGCGCACACTGACCGCATCACTTCAGTGCTTATGTTGAAACGATTGCATGGGACTCTTCTGTGACGTCGCGATTCGCTCCATCTCCATTCCTATTAGCCGTGGTGAGTCTTAGTAGAGGCGGCAAGTAAGTAGTGGATGCCAGCGATCCAGACACAAATGTTATATATCCTTCCACAATCTGTTACGAAACAATATGCATTCATCTCAATATTCTTATATATCTGTTTCAGATCCTCATTAAACATAAAGTTTCTCCTCTTTTCGATCGATATGCTGAATCTAATACTGCAAATCATTGAATTGCTCAATACTCTCGTGGTCGGAGGTAATATTTCCTACTTTCCGTACAGTCGTCCGTCATAAAATGAATGGCGTAGAAAAAATCATTTCTTGTGTTAGTATTTTATGACTGAATGTATTTAGAATGTGTTATGGTTCTACTTCATCCACTTTCTCAAGCTTTTTCGGTGTGGCTGATATTTACTAGTTATACTAGATGTGGTTCGTCTTCAACTCTGTTGTCATGAACTGCAAATGCCAAATCTCTCACGACAACCAACTAATTCTGCAACTTTGATTTTAGGTGCTGTTCTCTACCGCTACTCTTATGATTTCAAGGGTAAATGAATCCTAATCACAAACTATTAGGAGTTGCAATTTTATCTTTCGCTAATGATCAAGCAGGTTTGTGGCTTCACAGGTTTTTCTTACGATTTGTTTCTATCATTTCAGATCATATTTATGATGGTCTTTTAAGCTTCTTGTGGAAATTCTTGAGCATGATGGTACAATCAGTAGTGTGAGTGACGTTATGTCATGGGGCTACACATTTCTCTAATTCGAATGTTTCTATCTTCGCTGTTGAAATATACCCCTTGTACAAGCGGTATGTTCTTTAGAGTGTTACTGATGTTGTTCTTAAATTTTATTAGGTTGCTCGAATGTCTTTGATAAATACCCTGGTGGTTTTCGAGGTAGAAAGTTTTTGAGTCTATGGAAACATATCACCAACTTTTGAAACCAAAACCAATGGAAATTGACTTGTTCCGAATTTTTTCATTGTTCACTCAATTCAACATATCATGGTGAACCACAGCCTTGATTCAAACTTCACTATCTTGCGGTAACGACCTTATGAGCATAAGCACAGCACAAATAACTTACTGTTTTAAGGTTCCAGAGGCGGAAAAGCTTGAGCTGCAAAAGTTGGCTGAACATGTTCCCATATCCCATCAAAGAAAGTCCTCGATGAGAGTACTGCGAAAACCAATGTTCTTCTCCAGGTAATGTTTTGGCAACTTTTCTGTTTTCTGTTTCATGATCAGTAAACTTCGCTTTCATCAAATTTCACTATTTTCAGGCTTATCTTTCTATTGATATTGAATTGAATATTGAAACTAGATGGTATTGTTTTGCAATCTGATATGGTGCTCATTGCTCAATCTGCAGGGAAGGATGAGAGCTTTGGCGCTGGTTCGTAAAGTTTTTTTTTTGAGATCCTGTCACTTTTTTTATTTTGATCGTCCGTACGTGTACGCTTCATCAAGTGTTGAGTTTTTTTTTTTCGTTTATCCAGGGACACTAATAGGTACCCATTTTTCCTTTATACTGCTACAACTTCGTTTCAGGTAGTGTGCAGTATTGGCGCAGGAATGACTCATTCGAGCGCCTACATGGTCTGGATCAGCATGAATTTCGGGAGCTTCTTCGTATGCCGAAAATGGGAAACCCGTTGTACAACTTCGCCGGTGCCGTACAATATTTCAATTATCAAGCTTGGCTAGCGTGTTCCGTAGCCATACAAAACCACAAAGTATCTCACTACAAGAATTTTGCTCATATTTGTTTGTGTTATTTTGCTATTGAGTTTGATTTTTTCTCTCCTCATGATTTTCTAGTTACAAGATATTAGGGCTTTTAACAGTTATAGGGTCTTCGAAGCTAAAGTTTCATCGAGATATCATTCACATTTTTATGTTTCCAAGAAATGAATGAATGAATGAATCTAGCGTTCTCTAAATTGAATGTATATGAATAAAGAATTGTTTACTAACAGAGGAAGTCGTGATTTAGAACATATTCCAACCGACATATTGTTAACAGGGCAACCTAGAAAGTCAACTTATTTGATATGTGAGAGCACTGTAGGTAAATCGTCAGGACCTTTGTCATATGTAACGAACCACGATCATTTGAAAATAGGGTTCTTTTCTGGTACAGAGGCGCGAACTCGCGATAACACAATCTTCTTGGCTTCGGTGCTACGAGCATCAGCAACATCTGCGACTTGTCGTATGCAAAAAATTGACCCTTTATTTGCTTCTCACGCTGCTGATCAACATATCTGTGATAATATGCAACCTGAAACAATATAAAAGAGTGAAAGAGAAGAAAACACATGCATTGCGCGCACGCTCAATGTGGGAATGATCATATGACAGCTACCAAGTCTCACCGGAGGAAACCTCATCAGAGCTACGAGAGCTTGTCGTAGTGCATAGATTTGTGCGACATGGCCTTCACTGCTTCACAAGAATTCTGATGGCAACACCCTGCAAGCGCTCCTCACCTCTCACGAGACGAGCTCCTGCAAAAAAAAACTGACAATACATGTAGCACCACCACTGAGCTCCACAACTCAAACACCCTCAAACAAAGTAATTATCTCTTCAGGTCTCGTGAAGAATTTTTTGAGGAGTATGAAACTCAATATCATTGTGATGGCAAAGCTATCATAACGAAGATAAAGGGAAGTGTTGAAACAAAGCATCATCAATTAGTTTCGTTTCATTTCAACAATATAAACTTTCGGCAATCTAGACAAATTGTAGTACTTTACAGCTAAGAATTGAAAGTTGGAAAGTCTAAAGAGAAAAATTGCAGAAACCTAGTAACAAGGATTCAAGTATGCAGCAAGAGCGCTACTTACTCATTGCTGTGAGAACTGAGGACAAAAACAGTCAGAGCGAGCAAAGAAAGGCAGGCAAACGAAAAAAAATAAAGAAAAACGGCAAGAAGTCAGTGGTTGAGTTGCATTAAATCCTGCTGACAGAAGTTGTATTGATTCCCCTATCATCAGGTGGCTTGATGCCAGCAATGTCCGGACAACTCGTCCGGACACAGTTAGCCACCTAAGGCCGCCTCCTTCGGCGCTGTTTGACAGGGGGTTGTTATATCGGGCCTCGTGGACACTTTCTTTCCG